CCAAAAGCACTGAGCTTGTTGAGTAATAGATTGTGAGGGACAAGATCAAATGCACTGCTAAGATCAAAATAAACAGCATCAGCTTGACCCTGGGAGCCAACTATTGGGTTAATAAAATCAAGATAAGTTACGAGATTAGTAACTGTAGATTTAGATTTAGTAAAACCATGCTGACAAGGATTTAATTTCGACTTTATGTAATAATAATAGGAACAACAATAATAATAAATCTCCCCGTCACATTTTAGGCCGACATTCTCTAGTACCACTGCAGAAAATTAGTATTACACATTTCAATTAATTTACTACATTTCGATAATTTCATAATTAATTTCAATTAATTTCATGTGCTTTATTAAAGGGTTTGCCAACAGCAAAATGCTTACGAACATTACAGGCAAACGCTAATGAACATATGCATTTAAAATTAAAACAAAACCGATCTGAAATAATCTGAACTCGTTCCTTGCCTCTTGTAGCGAAGGTGCATCTAGCTCAAGAACTATTTTGTAACGTATTGCTGACACTGGAGGTGGAAAGTCTGTTAGTCACTTCGTAATCACAGGAGAAACGACATTGCACATAATGGAATGACAATGTATTTTGGTCTTAAAAATATTAATGAGAAACAAAGCATAAAGATGTCGTCTGAAATGTACTGTTTTAAAATTCAAACTATCCACCATGAAATAATAATTACCTGAACATGAAACTGAAAAAGGAAAATAATAGCATAGCTGGCAAATTTTCTTTTTCAAGTAGCATTTTATTAGTCAAACAATATAAGGTTATTACATAGAAAAGAACCACACTCGAGCTTCGGCCTCAGGAAAGCATCACGCAAAACAATTAACATAGCTAAGGAAGAGAAAATAATTCAGTTAAATCCACTTATTAAAATTGCTGAAGATCCAGTTTACAAGCAATTGCTAAACCAAAAACAACAAAATACAGTTAAAAGCAAGAAAAGAGATTCAACAAAACAGACAAATTATTTTGGTTTAAGAAGCTCTATAAATGCTCCTATAAACTTCATTGACAGCAGAAACGCATCTGGATGAGGGACTGACCTTGAAATTACAATTCACAGTAATACTAATCACTCATCAGTAAAACTGAATTTGCCGATCTATCCCTAGCTTGTTCTTTAAGCAACACAGACGTGATTTCCAGTTTGATTTGCCACGCTGAGAATGGATTGATGTTTGCTGTTGTACACGTCATCGAGTCGTTTCGAGGTGTTTGGAACGTCGTTAATAATACAGCGGGTTTACTTCAACCTTTACATCAGCACTTAATGGCGTCTCCGTGTCATTGGGCTGGTTCCACAGACCACGACTGGTTGGTTGGCAGGATTGATGGTACGTCACTGTCACCCTATATAACGACCTCCCATGGATGCTCTCTTGTACTACGCGCTATGCATTTAATCTTCCCAGGCCAGTGACAATATTATAAGATGTCTTATGGCAGTTCGCTGTATATACCAAATGTCAGCAGGATACTTTTAGTCTAGCTCATAATTTGAATGCTTTATGTTCTATTTATTTAGTTGCTGTGATAGTATTAATACCTTTCATCATTATTTTACACTTTCATACTGGTGTTCCTGTTAATTTCGCGTGTTGAAGAAAAATCAAACGGTTTGAAACGGTTAC